AAATGGTTTCAAACTTGGTTTGTGTATCATGGACTTGAAGAGAAAATTTTGTTCAGTCTTACTCTTCAAGGATATGAAAACTTCAAAAGAGAGGCAAAATCATTTTTAAAGCCTCATGAAAATGTTTTGTTTCAATTTGCCTTCAATATGAAAGTTTCCTGGATCTTTTGTTGGGATTTCTTTCTACTTCAAAATCAAAATGATGAGTTCTTTACTCAAAAGATTACTAGAAGATTTAAAGTAAAATGGTGGTTTAAGTTCAAGGAAACAAATTGCTATCCAAAAGCAGTTCAATCATGGATTCAAGAACAAAGAAATTTGGGAGTTCCAAAATTCTCAAAGAAAGAGCAAGATGATCAGGCAGACTTTCTGACTGAAAAACAAAGAATCATTTCATTGTTATCAAAATGCAATGATCCGAAAGAATTATTAGAAATTTATGAACATATTTCTAAAAATGGATCTAAAAAATCTAGCACTCAAGACTCAGATCAAGAATCTTAAAATTCTCAAGAGACAGACAATGGTGATGACCTAATTTACTTAGTTTATGACGACTTTCTTATACATCAGAAGGATGTAAGAATCAAATGACTACAAGAACCCAATTTTCTTGAAGAATTCAGAAATTACTGGGTTACAAAATTAAAAGACGCTCTTTTCAAGATGTGCATGACAAAATTAACTTTATCAAAGTAAATATTATACTTTTACAAAGTTAGTCAAAAGTTGCAAACAGCAAAGATGCTGTTCCCCACTTCTCAAAAGTTGGAACAATTATTCAAAAAGAAGACAAAAGAAGAAAAGAAGGCACTGCTTTTCAAGATTCTTCAAAATGAAGAAAAATTTGAAGTCCGGACTCCTCTATAAGAAGGAAGGCTTTCTTCATTTCGAGAGAGCAAATTTGGAATTAGAAGTTTGTTCTCTACAAATTTATAATTTGTACTTCAAATCTGTAATCGTTCAATTATCAATAAAATTTTCTTTTATCAAAAGTTTTATTCTATCTCTCTTGATACATTTTCTTCTTTATATATATATATATATATAGACAGTACAACCCTCTTTTAAGCAGTCCACTAACTGGGATTATTATCTCATATTTTTCTTAACTTTTCCTTATAGAAGGCTGTTGACTGAGTTGTGGTGGAGATTATTTTGATAGTTTTGCAGCCATTATTACCACCAATTGTAGGTTCTTTTTTTTTTTTTGAAATTGGATAATCATCAAGTGAAATATTTGCAGCATATTGGAGGATTCTTTTTTTTTTTTTTTTTGTATTTATATGTACCAATGATCATGAGGGAATATTGTAATCTAAACTGCCTTCAAATATCCTTTTCAGAGGCAGTTATGATGCAAATGATATTGATGTTTTTGGCTGGACGAGTGAATGATATTATTATGTTGGTATATTAGAGTTCAGAAAAATTTTAATTGGTCAAATGAAGTTTTATTATTAAAGTTTAGTTACTTTTGCCTTGTGATGGGTCCAGCGCCTAACTGGCACTTATCATCGGCGCACATCTTGTCTTGAGTCTAATAATGAGTTTGGGACAGGATGCGTCAGAGACTAGTTGGATATCTAATGCAAGAGAAAATAAGATTAGGTATTTACTCCTAGAGGGACTGTTTCTTGGAGCTCCAAGAAACAAATATGTAATACTTGTTCAACCATGAAATATGAGTTCTTAGCATTAACTGAAATTTGGAAAGAGACCGAGTGACCTTGGAATCCTTTTTTATGAAGTTCCTTTATGAAAGAAAGCACATCTTTCGTATCTATCTTGCAGTTAAAATACTCCAGCTAGAGCATATATAAAGTATATGATGAGAAGTATGGACATATGACTCTATGACATATGTAAAGTCAAGTAAAAATTACCCCGATCCATTTACTAAACCTCTTACAAGAGAATTAGTACGATCGATATTGAGTAGGATGTGAGTGAAACTTCTTAATTAAAATTTCATCAATGATGAATGCTGGAAAAATTGATGTATAATTATATTTCGTTACCAAAAATAAATGCATGCAAATATAATAAAAATTGCAAATTACTAGTACAATATATCAAAAAGAATTGCAAGATACCGAAACCAAGATATGCGCATAAAATATGTAAAATGACTACTTATAGACATTTGGAAAAATGTAGAAATTTGAATGAAATGAAATGAAGTGAGGTATGCGGACTTAAATCTCCTTAAGACAAATTTTGTCCTTGCACTGTTGCTAATAGGATCAAATTGATGTCTATTTCCCAATATACAAATTTTTTTCCAATATTAATATAACATAGTATTACTTTTGTCGAGCGAACCAACACTTGATTGTACTATTCTAGAACAAAGATATCAAATACTAAATATCGAACATGAAACTTGAAAATTAATTTGGAAATTGTTTTGACATAATTTGAAGAAGGAAAAAATTAGAAACAATTACATTAAATTAATTTGTAGTGAAGATAATGGAATTAGGAGGATCCTATTTTTAGATTTCCATGCGTCTCTTTCTAACGTTTGGCCCAAATTCATTTCAACCGTTAGATAGCACAATTTTAAAGTGGATCATGATCCAGTGGTCTAGACCACATCTTATCAAAAGGTCATCACTCTTCGTTATGCACTTGAAGAGCCGCACCAATTCGTCATATCTATAGGAGACTTATTCCAATTCACACATATTAATCTATGTATACTCTTAAATTCCAACAATGGCAACCATACCGAACTATACCAAACAAAAAATTTTGGGTTCAAAGGATAATAACAAGTCATTCAGTAAGTAAATAATAATCATCACTTTGTTAAAAAAAATCTATCTTAGATTAATCTGTTGGCTGTTACAGTTGGAGGGTTCAACCTTTTAAACTCCTAATAAAGTTCGCTAGTTAGTACAAGTGTCTCTAAATATAAGAAAGATAACGACAAGATTGTACATATATGGACATTGAAGTGGTGGCACTTCAATGGAAAGTTGAAGTTTTTCTTAAAACTTCATGAAAGGATAAACACAAAACCATAAAAGGCGAGTCATGCACAACAAAAGAGCATAGGTATTTTATGCATGTAAGCATCACCATGGTTATATAAATAAATAACTACTTCAAAGCTTTCATGCCAATTGAAATTTTGAAATCACTTTGTGGAACTAAAACTGAGGTAAATGTTCAAATCAAAAGTTGCCTTCATTTATGCATAAATATATTTTTATTATGAATCGAAACTTTTTCTTATTTGAACAAGGCATTAATCTACTCAGCCAGGGAAATGGGATAGGAAAATTCATAAGGATGATATGGCAGATTCTGATTTATCTGGTTTTTTTTTGTTTTTTTTTTATTTTTTATTTAAACTTCCATCTTCCAATGAATGAATGACAAGTGGTGTTGGTTACCAAAACCTGTCAAAATTCCCTGTCAATGTAGCATGGCTGTTGAACAAGTGGAAGGATTGTTGTAATTTGTTCAAATTATAATGCCAACTAGGATGTTTTGGATTTTTTCTATAGTGAGAAAGACGTGAAATTATGAAATTCAAAGACCAAAGCGGACTTACCTTTTGTAAAGCAAGACTTGTATTTACGGGTTCGTGACCCGCGGATTGACTGCGACCGACTGGTCCTTGAGAGTTAGGCTAGTTTGTGTTTGAAACTTGGCGATTTTTTGCAACTTTTCACCAAAAGTTGTCCCGTCCCATTCGACCAAAAGGTGTTTTCATCTGTATAAATTGTTGTTATTAGATGGAAAAATGTAACATTTACAACCATAACAATTTCAAACTTCCAAAACATAAAACATTGTGTTCTTAAGTTCTTTTTGAATTTTTCACTTGTTACTTGGTGATTAATCTTTATGCTTGTTCAATTCTCAAAGCTAGTTGTTGTTGAACTCCATTAACAATCTCAAAAATCGAGTGGGGAGTGAATATTTCTTTATGACAACGTTCTTACCTGTTCAAGTCTTGATCAATATTTTTGAAGGTTTTCTTCATTTGAATTCTAATATCTTTTTCATCAGTTCATTTTTACCAAGAATCCCAACACTGACTATGCAAACCACTAACTCAAATTCTTGTAAGCCAAACATGACCAACTTCTTACATGGCACTATTTTGTTTACCTGGTGATGCACGAGTAGACCAAAAATTAAAAATAAAAATAAAAATTATGGTATTCCAATGATGCCAATGGCTTGAGCTAATTCGAGTAACTTTCTAACAATTAACATATGGTAAAATAAAAAGAAATTGAAACTAGAACAATTCGAAAAATGATTGGCAAAAGAAAACTATAATTGTCGACGATCTTAATATTATTATCATTCTAAGAATGACGAGCATCCCATAAACATATTTGTACATCGATATCACCAGAATACTCAAACCATTCTCAAGCCACATAAGTAAAGTTCTTTCTTTTTGTTTCAAAAACTCAAAAACTCAAAAAATAAAAAATAAATTTTTTTTTTGGCCATAATATCCTTCATAGCCTCATCATATGAACATGAATTGTATTGTATATTACTAAAAAGAGAAATAACTTCAAAAAATTAAAAATAATACCTTCAAATCAACTACTAATATGAAGGGAAGATGTTTCCTTGAGAATGAATGAAAGGCAAAATCTTTCTTGTAAATGGGAGAAATTTTAAGGGATTTTTTTGGCATTTTTGGCCAAATTATTCAAGTGGCTTAAATGAGCTCATCGTTCGCCCACCCAACCAGCATACAAGCTTGCGCTAATACGAGATATGCAAAGAGAGATTGGTGGTGACATTAAGCAGAGCAATAAATGACGGCAATTTGGTGCAACCCACAACCATTTTCATCACAGTTGTTGCCAGGCAGCAGGGTCCAATCGATTCTTGTTTCTTGCTTTCTGTTTCCCCTTCTTTCAATGATTTCTTCCCGGGATTTCTACTTATTGTTCAACAGATTTAATTTTGATCTTCTATGCAGAGGATTTATGGGTTCCAATGCTGCTCTAGTCCACCCAATCACAAAAATAGAGAAACCCAAACTCCCCAGTTATTGAAGGTTGCTGTCAGTGGTGTTACAGAACTCCTAAGGCTCATTTCTTTTACTGGAGGCAGGTGCTTTTTCCACTCTTGTATGCTATTTTTCCACAATTTTCTAAATTCGTGTAACTTTTATTTCAATTTGTTCAGACCAAGTGGGAATGAAAATACATAAATTCGGCATAGGTACAACTGTGTGGAAAATTTATATACTGAGATGTGAACTCCTTATATCCATATATAATGAAAACATTTTGTATGCCGGGACGTATACCTGTCTGGCACTTTGGAAGGCTAGGAATTGTCCAAATTGTATTGATTTATTGAAGCCCATGTAGAGTGTCCCTGTGTCCTCGTATAGTTACTCTAACTTTCTTACGTATAGGGATCACTTTAGCACTTTTCTGTAATATTTATTTTTTATGGACTAGCATTTAATTGGTCATTTTTTAGCCCAAAATGGGATGGGCCCTTTTACTAACACATTTTGGAGACCCCTACTTTCAACCCACCTTATATACGGTTGGCCCATTGAATCATATATATATAAATTTTGGCCCTTTTGTCCTCACAATTTTTAGCAACAAAGAGGACAGCTTCTAGGGCTTGAAAAGGTTAGAGAGTAGTTCTCTCCATATCAAGTTTTTCATCTTCTTTGCAGTCAGGAATCCATGGAAGGTCAATCACAAGCTATAGGTGGTATGTTTTCTTTTATTATTGTTGAACATGCTATGACAATAAGAAGGAGTTATTGATGTTTCTATAGATCTTTAGCAAATGGTATCAGAGCACTTGGAAAGGGACTTATTCAAATTAAAAGGAACATACTCTTTTAGAAGGTTTGGACAATGGCGGAATTATTTTACATATACCAAAAGCACTAGCTTCTTTCTCTATTTTGGATATATACGCAATTGGGTCTGCAAATTCCGTGTTCGTTGGGCGGAATTCAGGTGCCATTGCCAATCCGTTAAGCCACTTCGGTATTTTCACATCCTTCATTATACCACCAAAAATTCACCCAGACTCAATCCCTTGCAATTGAAGTATATGTAAACAAATCCAAGGCTACTGCATTGAACTATTAAAATTGAAAACGACCATGAATAAAAAAAACTATAGTTCAAATTTTCACGAGTCTCCTGTAGCTTCAATTTTATCGAGAAAGATTGGGGTGAAAAGCACCAGATATTGGGTATGACTTATGAGAAACTGGGATCTTTGGATTGAAGACCTTGAGGGGGTATTAGTCATTATAAATTATCGGGATTGTTGTATTATTTATGCTTCCGCTAAATGACATTTTACTAAGATCCATACGAATAGTAAATTTTCCCTATCAATAAATCATTATTTGGTAGGATGCTTAGGACGACAAAGATAATAGTTAAGTGCTTGGTACTTGGTGACCTAATTCTATCCTCTCGGCAGTGGGCCATCTTAAATCCTTATATTTGATTATTTTGTTTTGTCATGCGTAAGAGCCTTGAGTGTGTCTTGGACTCTAGTATAGTGCGTAAGAGTTTATTTTGAATAAAGCTCTAGCATTGATATAAAATTGCCTAGTGGATACATTTATGGGTGCATGTTTATCATCTTATATTTTTAATATATTTTTTATTGTATTCTCCTCAGCATATGGCAATGGAGGTATGTCTCTCTCTTTGTCTGCCATCAAAAGTCTAACAGGGACCAATTATGAGGATTGGCATGAATCTCTCATTATTAATTTGGCTATTATGAATTTGGATTTGGCTTTGAGGGTTGATGCACCTACCAAACCCACCAGTGAAAGTACTGCAGCTGAAAAGACTCTTTATGAGCAATGGGTGCATTCTAATAGGACTTGTCTTATGCTCATGAAGTATACTATTGACAAGTCTATCAGGCAGAGCATATCAGATATAGATAGTGCCAAAGAGTATCTTGAGGTTGTTGGGAAGAAATTACTAAGTTTGACAAGGCAGAAAAGGGAACTTTGATGAAACTTCTTACTACCACAACCTATGATGGGGTTAGAGGAGTTAGAGAGCATATTATGAAGCTTAATCATTTCTTTAACAATCTGAAAGGAATGAAAGTTGAGTTAGCAGAAAGTTTTCTTGTATGGCAAGTACTTGAATCCTTGCCATCTCAATGCACTCAAGACTACTTATAATGCTCAAAAAGAAGAATGGGACTTGAAATGACCGCTATTGTAACTCAAGAAGAAGAAATGATGAAAAAGGCAAAGTCTCATGCTGCTTTCATGATAACTACTAATAAAGGGACGAAGAAATTTTTCAAAGGTAGTAGTAGCAACTCCAGTAAGATGAAGAAATTTGGGAGACCTTCTCAGCAAGCTATTGTGAGTGTTTCTAATGGGCCTAAGAAGGAAGGTTTCAAGGGCAAGTGTAACTTTCGTCATATTTTTGGACACAAGAAGGTAGATTGTAGGAAGTTTAAGGCTTGGTTAGATAAGAAAGGTATACATTCGATACTAGTATGTTTTGAATCTAATCTAGTCGATGTGCCTTCTGATACTTGGTGGGTAGATACCGGTGCAACCATTCACACTACAAATTCTTTTCAAGAATTAAAGAACTGCAGAAGACCAATTGACACAGAGTCAGTAGTAAACATGGGCAATGGAATGAAGGTTAAAGTTGAACATATTGGAACAGTCAGACTTATTTTGGGTTCTAAGCACATTTTGAACTTGTCTGATACTGCTTTTATACCTTCTATTAGAAGAAATCTTATCTCTGTTTCTATTTTGGATATATGTGGATATGTTTTTCATTTTGGAAATGGAAATGCTACAATCTATTATAATTCTGTTGTGGTTGGTACTGCTACATTATATGATGGTTTGTATATAATCAACTTGTTTCCTGCTTTAGATTATACTTCTTCTAGCGTTTCTGTTGTGAATGCGTTCTAAACATATTAGATCCAATGAAAACTCTTCCATGTTGTGGCGTAAAAGGTTGGGTCATATTTCTAAAGAAAGAATGGAAAGGTTGATTAAAGAGAGTATACTAGTTGATTTGGATTTCTTTGATTTTGAGACGTGTTGCTTGTATCAAAGGGAAGCTTCCAGCGAAACCTAGAAAACAAAAGATTAGTAGAAGTGTGGAAATTCTGGATTTAATTCATACTGATGTCTGTGGTCCTCACCTGCTGCTTTGGAAAATTATAAATACTTCATTATCTTTATTGATGATTATTCTTGCTATGGTTACATTGAGCTCATTTGAGAAAAATCAGATTCATTGGAAGCCTTTAAGGCTTTCAAAGCTGTCGTGGACCTCCAAAAAAAAAAAAGAAAATCAAAGCAGTAAGATTAGATAGAGGAGGTAAATTTTATGGGAGATATGATGAAACTGGTAGAAATACTGGACCTTTTGCTAGTTTTCTCAACGCATGCGGTATTAAGGCTCAATACATAATGCCGGAACTTCTGAACAGAATGGTATTGCAGAAAGAAGAAATCGTACTCTTATGGACATGGTGCGGTGTATGCTTAATCATTCTACTTTGCCTGATTTTTTATGGGGTGAGGCTTTGAAAACTACTGCTTACATTCTGAATCAAGTGCCAAGCAAGTCGGTTCCTAAAACCCCTTATGAGTTATGGTCAGGTAAAGGACCTACTTTGTGTCATTTTCGTGTTTGGGGTTGTAAAGCAGAAATAAAGCTTCATAATCCTCAGCAGAAGAAACTTGATCCTAAGACCATCACTGGATATTTTGTTGGGTATTATGTGGGATCAAAGGGATCTAGATTCTATTGCCCTTCTAATGTTACTAGAATTATTGAATCTGATCGAGCCATTTTCTTTGAGGATGTTTGTGATAGTGGGAGCTCCACACCACATGAAGTTATGTTTAGGGAGGAACGTGTTATCATACCTGTTCAAGTTACTCCTCCATTAGTGGTTGTATCACCATTAACAGAGGGAACCAATGCTGCTATCCAAGACCCTGTTGTTGACACGGGGGTTGATGTTGATATGGGGATCGACGATATTGTTTTGAAGAGATCATAGAGGATTCGTAGACCAACAATTTTTGATGATTATATTATCTATTTGCAGGAGCATGAGTTTGATGTTGGTACATCTCTTGATCCGACCTCTTTTAAGAATGCCATTAATAGTCCTAAATCTTCATTTTGGATGGATGCTATGCATGACAAGATGGCATCAATGTGCCGAAACAGAGTATGAGACTTAGTTGAACTGCCTAGTGGCTATAGGCCAATTGGCTGTAAATGGATTTTCAAGACCAAGTATAATTCTTAAGGTTAGGTAGAGAGGTATAAAGCTAGGCTTGTTGCTAAGGGCTTTAATCAAAGAGAAGGCATTGATTATAAGGATACCTTCTTGCCTGTTTCTACCAAGGATTATTTTCGGATTATTATGGCATTGGTGGCTCATTTTGATTTTGAGTTGCATTAAATGAATGTCAAGACAACTTTTCTTAATGGACATTTATTTGAGAATGTGTACATGATGCAACCAGATGGTTTCCAAGTGGATGGAAAGGAACCCATGGTGTGTAAGCTTAAGAAGTATATTTATGGGCTTAAGTAAGTATCGAGACAGTGGTACCTAAAATTTGATGAGATTATCACTTCTTTCGGTTACAAGGAGAATATTGTTGATCAATGCATATACTTGAGGGTCACTAGGAGTAAGTATATCTTTTTTGCTCTTTATGTTGATGATATGTTACTTGTTGCAAATGACATTGAGCTTTTGCTTAAGACAAAGCGCATGTTGTCATCTCTTTTTGATATGAAGATCTTGGTGAGGCCTCTTATGTTTTGGGGATTCAAAATTTTCCTGATACATCTAGAGGCGTTCTTGGATTCTCTCAGAAAATCTACATTGATCGAGTTTTGAGCAGGTTTAATATGCATTCTTGTTCTCCGGAAAAGCACCTATTGTGAAAGGTGATAAATTTTCTAAGTCTCAATGCCGTAACGATGATAATGAGAGGACTTAAATGCAAACAATTCCCTATTCTTCAGTTGTTGGTAGTTTAATGTATGCTCAAGTGTGTACACGGCTTGACATTGCTTATGTTGTTGGTGTACTTGGGAGATACTTGAGTGATCCTGGTTTGGCTCACTGGAAAGCTACAAAGAAAGTACTTAGGTACTTGCAAGGCACTAAAGATCTAATGCTAACATATCGGCAATCTAACATTCTTGATGTAGCTGGATATCCTGATGCCGATTTTGCAGGTTGTTTAGATCACAGAAGATCTACTTCTGGTGATGTTTTTATGATGGCAGTAAGAGCTATATCTTGAAAAAGTGTCAAACAGTCACTTATAGCTTCCTCTACAATGGAGGCAGAGTATGTTGCTTGTTATGAGGCTACATGTCAGGCTATATGGTTGCGAAATTTTATCTTGGGGCTAGGTGTTGTGAACACCATTTCGAGGCCACTGAAGATATTTTGTGACTATTCTGCAGTATTGCTTTCTCTCGAAATACTAGAAGTTCTTCACGTTCTAAGCATATTGATATTAAGTATTTGTTTGTTAAAGAGAAAATAACTGAGTCTTATATTTGTGTTGAACATATTTTAATAGATCATATGTTAATTCACCCACTAACTAAAAGTTTAGCTCCAAAATTGTTTCAGGAGCATATGGCTCATATGGGATTGTTAGAGTCTTATGTTGTATTTGGTTAGTGGGAGTTCTGTAATCATTGCTATTTTACCATGTTATTTATGCTCATATTTGTTGTCCTTATAATATAGGGCCTGTTTGAGCCACATTATTTCAAAAAAATACATTCTTAAATAGTGATTTAATATCATTTTAACCACACATTATTTAATAAAATAATATTACACGCAGATCAAAATTTTTTCCTTATTTTTTAACCACACATTTCCCATCAACACTATTCAACAATGCATTATTACCAAAATAATGTGGCTCAAATAGCTCCATAGTAATATCAATGAATGCCTGAGTCACGTGCATTTTGGACAAGGCGTACTTTATGTATTGAGATATTTTGACCAGTCTCGTGCGTGAGTCACGCGCATTTTGGACAAGGTAATGATTATATGTATTGAGACATTTTGGTTAGTCTCGTGCCTGAGTTTCACGGGGTACCTTTCTTCTTGGCATAGAAAGGGATACCGTGCGGCAGTAGTCTGCTCCGCCCGACTACCTTCCGCCTTTTCTCGATTGCGTCGGGACAAAATAAAATTTGATTACAATTTTGTAGAAAGCTTACAACAGAGAATTTGAATGCATTGAAAGTAAATTGAACATTGATGGATGAAAACTGAACATTACAATTGACGAAAGCAAAAAATTACAATTGCTGGTGCAGGGGGCAGACACCAGTGAGTTTGAAAGATTTTTGAATAACTAATACCCCCTATAATAGCATTCGGAACAAAAACATAAGTGACAGGAGTAGACTTTTAAAAGAAGAGAAATCATACTAAACGTTTACTAATATCAGAGCTATTTTACAACTGAAATAACTATTACCATAAAAAGAAAATTACAACTCGAATTTGAACTAATATTTACAATGTGTGGTCAAAGTTGGACAAACTGTGGTTGCGATAGTGTCAAGGGACTAAGTAAAGCTGCGGTCCTTGACATTCTCCTCCATTTGTTTTGGCGCGTCCTCGGTGCCATCAATGCATTATATGCTTCAATTAATGGTTTGAAAGCTCCAAGATCATTTTCTCTTTCCCAAGTATTCTCCTCATTGCTGCATCCAATCCATTTGACCAAGTACTCCTGATGATCTTTTCTAGAAGCTCAAGTGATTCGATAGTGAAGAATAGCTTCAGCAACTTTCTTTCCAACTTTCTTCAATTTAAACACAGGTCGCTTTAGCTCATTTCTAGATGCGTCCTCCTTATCTGCAAAGTATGGCTTCAGCACATTAACATGAAGGACCTTGTGGATTTTACACCATGAAGGGAGTTCAACTCTGTATGCAACTCTTCCAATCCTTTTCACGATGGGTAATGATTTAATATATTTTGGCGTCAGTCTTGAGTCTTTCCCTCTTGTTGGTTTGTAAACATTTCTGTCTGGAAGCTTAACCATTACCAGATCTCCAACATTAAATTCAATGAAACGGCGTTTTAGATCTGCAGCCTTTTTATAGCGTTTTTGAGCTTTCTCAAGATAACTCTGAACAATTTCAATATTTCGTTTCCACTTTTGAGAAAAATTCTTTGCTTGAGGGGACTTGGTACTTCGTTCGATATCCACCGTATGGGGGAGTAGCGGTTGCTGACCAGTAATAATCTCAAAAGGACTCTTATTGGTGGAAGAGCTCTTTTGGGCATTGAAGCAAATTTGAGCCGCATCCAAAAGTTTTACCCAGT